AAACCTGACCTGCTGGGACTTGTAAGAGTTGGGTGGAATGTGTGGTGGCCTTTGTGTTGGGTGTCTGAAAGCGAGGAGAAAGAACAGCTTTGCTCCTCTGAGCTCCTTACCAAACCTCTAGAAGGATGGCATCCAATGTTCTGTGCGCAGCCCTTGAGCAGAGTGGCTGGAAGGTTCCTGGCAGAGCCAGAGGTTGGTTGGCCGTGCTGGGTTTGGTTCATGGTGTGCAGCGTCGTGTGGCTGAGCACCAGAGAGTTCCTGCAGTAGAGCTCTTTGGATGTGAACGCTTGATTACTAAATGTATATTGCAATTCTGAATATTATTTTAGCTACGAGATCAGTCTCCGTCCTCTCCAGCTTTTTAGGTTTGATCGTATTCCAGAGGCTTACTAAAAACATGCAAAGAATTTCAGCAAAACTCAGTGGAACACTTTTATTAAATTCTTTCAGTCATGCAAGCTAAATTAAATGACAGCTCTGTCCACCAAAAGATTACAAATATCAATCAGACTTCTCCCCTAAACTCATGAAGGAATTAAATGTTTTTCTAAAAGTCTTCTATTCTCCTTAACAATCTGTTTGGCTGTTCTCTTTGCTTTGCATATTTTTGAAGTCTGTTGAAAGGGATGATTTCTGCCCTAGAGGAGCACCGTGCTTGTATCACACGGCCGATATTTCATCTGAATTTGTGGACACAATTTTGATGTTGCTCAAATTGATATTTGCAATACAGTGAGCATAGTTTCCAAAATGAGAAAACGGCTGTTGAACTGCAGTCCAAGGAACACAACGCTCATTTCTTCTCAGAGACGGGAGATTAATGATAAAAAGTATGTTGTAGCCTTCCTTGTTTAGGTTAAAATTGGAAAAACAAGGCCAGGTGGCTCAGGGGGCTGGTGGGATGGGGAGCTCTGAGTGAAGTGGTTGTTAAGAACAAGGAGTTATAAAGATTTCAACACACGGTCGCCCGTCCAACTCCAGCTGAGTCATTACCCCACATTGCTGCATCTGTTTGTGTCTGGTCACTGCGTGGTTATGAATAATGGTATAAATCACACTGGGATGCCCTGGGGAGATTTCCTTGCAGAAATACTCGGCACGCTCTTCCGATCTTGCTTGTGTTTTTTTTGTTATTGTTGTTTCTTTTTTTGGGGGGGGAGAGCACAGGACAAACTGAGGAACAAATATTTGTGTGGAAACCAGCTGGGGCATTCCACCATCCCTCGTACCAATGCCCGTGCTTCTGGAGTGAGGGTAGGATGTGAAAGCAATGAGATTGGACACAAATCCGATGCATGTTTGAGCTGGTGGATCTTGTAGTTGGGAGTGTAGGATGTGGCCCATGTGCTTCTTCCCATGGTTACGGTGCAGATGGGAGATGGGTGCCCCACAGACACCTCTGAGATGTGTGTATGCGCACAGGCTCCCACAGTTAGCACTCTGGTTTACACTGGGTACATTACAGAGTATTTTTGCCATTATGGTTTAGCAGAGAAGAGCAGATATGATTGTAAACTCTTGCAGCTGAGTGAATTGTGATTAAGATGAAGCTATCTTGCTTCACATACTACTTTAGTGATCACCAGACTATGTATTTTCTGTCTCTTAGCGTAGTCTGTACACCACAGGACATGAATTAACTATAATGTCAGGGTAACAGTCAGCTCTGTTTGCTATTTAAGGATGGAGAAGCTATGTTCAGTGCTCTGAATATAACTTCATAAAGCACACAGACCGTGCTGGTGGCTGTGCAATGGTTCAGTGAGGCCACAATGTTGTGCCAACTGAAGCCATGGTGCCCAGCAGTGCTCTCTATCTGAATGCCCAAGATTGTACTTTGGGATTCCCACCCATCACTAGGTTTCCTGTCTGTGCTAGCAGGGAAGGACGTGGTAGGAGGCATTGCTGGCCCTGCTCTTCTGGTAGGACTTTCTTGTGTTTCATACTATGTCAGTGACCTTTGAATCACAGAATCACCAAGGTTGGAAATGACCTCCAAGATCATCCAGTCCAACTGTCCACCCGTCATCAACATTTCCTGATAAATCATGTCCCTCAGTACAACATGTTGCTGTATGAGTGAGCTGATGCCCAGGCAGGTTTGCAAGGCTGAGGCTGTCCTGATGCCCACAAGCATCACTGTGCCAATCAGACGCTATGGTCAGCAAGTGCTTGGCTATGCTGAGGCCCATGTGTTGTTTCTTGGGAAGTTCCCATTTCATTGTGGCTATAAAGGTTGAGAAATTAAGCTGCTAATTTATAGCATGCCAAGAAAAAAAAATAGTAATATGAGAGTGATTTTAATGTATGAAAACAACTGAAAAATTCTGCTATTTTCCCGCCCCTGCTGAGCTTATTAAATCTGAAAATATCCCAAAACTTAATTCTCTCTGCCAGAAAGCTCCTTATGCCTCTTTCTGGGTAATGGAATTTATGCTGCTGAGGTGCATGGTGAGGTTCCTGCTGGTGTGCTTCATGCTTCAGCTGCAATGGGAGCATCCTGCAATGGTGGCGCACTGGGGCAGTGAGTTCTAAATTGTGTGGGGCATGCTCACTGTATTTTTCAGCTGACATGCTCCCATCTGAGCTATACTATTAGCTGTGTCGTTGACGAAGTCTATATTTATGGTGTGGTTATTTGTTGCTGAAGTCTCTATTTACAGCATTGCAAGACTCTACGGATGTTGTCTGTTCCTGGCATGTGTCTGAATGAGCCATGGTGCTCCTCGGTCCCACAACGTGAGAACCATCAGGTCTGCGTGCAGCAAGAACAAGTGCATGCTGTGCCTCTGAGCATGACTTCTACAAACATTTCCTAAGCACTGTGGGCTGACTTTGGAGGGGAGAAATGCAAGGAGCGATAAGGGCTGAGCCGCTGTGTTTGGTTTGTGTGAGGTCTGCCCCATGCTACGCCCAGCTCTGTACTGGTGTATATATGCATATCATTTTTTTTCTTTTTGTGGTCACACAGTGTTCTGGGAAAGGCCTGCAAACATCTAAATAAAATAAGACTCTGGATCTGGGAGCTTGGGCGGTCTGAGCCAAAGTATGCTGATGGCCACGAAAACACATCTCTATGTTTTGGGGAGATGAGCTGCGCTTCACCTGCTAGCACTGCCATGGTGCCATGCTCTCTGATTCAGGTGTACAAGGCTAACATTTGGGGACACATATATAAGGGAAAACTCTTATCCTTGCCATGTCCCTTTGTCACCCTTGGGTGATGCTCAGCGTGGACCCGTGAAGCAGAGCTGTGCCACGGTGCTGCTCCCCACAGGGTGCAGCAGGGAGCTGGAGTGGTCTCACTTGGAGCCATTTGTTTTTCATTACACTGTGCTGCTCTAATATAAACAATAAGGTATGTGGACACTGCTGTGGACAGAGAGCCAGATGCTGAAAGCATTCCTCCAAGGCTGTATAAACTTCAGCAGCTAAATATTTTAGGAACTGTTTTCTAAGACTTGCTTAATAGTTTAAAAATATAACCTAGATTCCAGATATTAAAAAATGCCTTGAAAGACACGCATATTGCTGCAATAGCTGGAACCAACTAAAGCCCTGAAGTAAGCAGAAGGCTCCCGTTTTGCAATATCTTCTCTGTTACTTATCCTTTATTATTATTTTTTTTTTTAAAGCAGAGATTAAATTTGAGAGGCTTTTAATGGTGGAGTGGTAGTGACAGAAATTTTTAGCCTATATTAATGGGCTGACTCACACTTTTTCAAAGGGAAGCTGGGTTGGTGATGAAATAACTGGGTTCTTTCAGCAAAAGCAAAATAGGGAAAGTCAGTGGGAAGAGGAAGGCAATGTCTTAAATATGTGTTTCATCCTGCCACTCTGCACGGATGGTGCTGAGAGCTCCCACCTGTGGCTGAGAGCAACCCTGGCCATCAGTGCAGGTATCCAACCCCTGCTCAGTGATGTGCAACCTTTCAGAAGCAGTTAGGACTTTAAAGCTCTGGAGCTGTTTTTTGTTGATTTTGTTTTTGCTTGGAAATGTTGGAGTTGCTTGGTGTGGATTATGGGTTCTTTCACTGCATTGCTTTACCTGGGGAAGTCAAATCCTGCCTTAATCCAGCACTTTAGAAGCTCATCTCTGTGAGCATCCTCTGGGTGTTCCCATCACTGCCTGCCCCAAGCAGGATGATGCTGGGATGAGGGCACTCTGCTGTGGGATTTGCAGCATACAGAGCTGTCCTGGTTTCCCAAAGCAGTGCCAGAGGGATCTGTCATTTCTTGTCCCACATGTTACTCCTCAGACAGACCATAATCCCTGAGAGCAGCTCCATGGTGCTTTCCAACAGATCACTTTATGTTGAGCTGGCAGCACAAAGACTTGCAGTGGTGCAGCAGCAACCAAGCCTGGGGCTGAGCTCAGCTTGCCCTTGACCACTGGACAGGGCTCAGCTGTGCCACTGCTTCTGTGTCTGACATCCCCGGGGGCTTTGCCCCCACACAGGGCTCATCTGGCTCAGCTCTGGAAGTGCATTCTGCTGCTGACCTGTGGGCTTTGATGGCTGGTAGATGTCCTTCACCCAGGGAGAAGCCAAGGCATGGAGTTTCTCAGTGTGGTTTTATTTCCTTCTCCTGTTTGTTCCGTTGAGGTTTTGTGTGCATGTTTGCCCATGAATGAACCAGAGCCCTTCTGTGCTTTGGCATGAGGCATGCACCAGGGTCATATAGAATCATTCAGGTTGGAGAAGACCTCCAGGATCACCAAGTCCAACTCACCCCACCACCACCATGCCCACTAACTATGTCCCTCAGTGCTACATCTGCACGTTTCTTAAACCCCTCCAAGGACAGTGACTCTACCAACCTCCCTGGGCAGCCTGTGCCAATGCACCGCCACTCTTTTGTGAAGAAATATTCCAGATATCCAACCTAGCCCACTGATGTGGTTCCATGGAGCCCTGTCACTCACTCCTGCAAGCAGGAGATGAAGAAGTAGGGAGGGTGGTGGGAGCTGTTCAGTGATCTCGATGCATCCTGTCTTCCAGCTGCTCAAAGGGACGGCTCTGCCCCACCGAAAAGCTACAGGCAAAACCCCAGAGGAGGAGGAAGAGGGGAGTGGAGACTGTGATGATGAAGATGACTGTGGCAGAGGCTCTGGAGATGGAGAGCTGCGAGTGAGGAACCAGCTCCGGTTCTTAGCAGGTAATGGGGACAGTAGTTCTGGGGGTGGCTGTTCCTCTGGGGTCAGTAGGTCTGGATGACAACTCTTGGGTCTGCTCAGCTTCCTGCTCCAGGTGGGCTTACAGGGGTGCGTTCAGCCTTGCTGAGCTGTAGGTACAGCTCATCCCCTGCTGCCTACTCTTAGGAATTTAAAGGTGAGCTTTTCTGCTTTCTGGAGAAATTCATAAAGTCAATAAAGATGGTCTGAGTACAGCAAACCCTCTTGGTTGTTTCTGACATGGAGTTTAGAGAGACGGGGTTAATTTAAAAACAAAACAAACTCAAGAAAAAAAAAAAACACCTAAGTTTCATTTTTGAGAAGTGATTTGAGCACTCAAGACCCTTAGGATCAACAGCATTGACCATCAGTATGATCTATGTCTTTGGATCTCCTTGAGATGTCAGTAAGGTGTCCTGATGCTTCATGGCTATGTAATTAAAAAGGTCACCACCTTCCATTGGAGGTGGAAGTGAAGATCCAGCTGCGACTTGAGCAGTTACAGAAAGGTGGGTGGGTGGGTGGGTGCCTTCCCCTGACCCCCTAACTGCTGCCATCCTCCCTCCTGCTCATAGCAGTGAGACCACCACGTCCATGGTGGGTGTGTGGCATCTGCTGGCTGGGGGGCAGTGGCTGGAAGCTCGACCCAATTAATGCTGGTCCCAGCTCTGTGCTCTTGGAGAGACCAGACAACTGAACCTGGATAAAATCAGCTTTACAGCTTTGAAGTTTAAGAGGGAAATTTGGGCTCTTAAACGAAGCACAGATGTTTATAAACTTCCTTCCATTGGCCTGGGATAATTAAAATATCCTTAATGAAGTGAGAGCTGAAATATCAAATGCCCGTTTCATATCAAAGATTATTGACGCATTATGTAAAATATATAAAATACATATATTCAAATATTGGTTTGGAGAAGGAAAAGGCTCCTTAAGTTCTCCAACCCAGGTCTGAAAGAGAAATGCATCATTCGGAGAAGAATAAAATGCCCTTTCTTTCATGCAAGATCTCAATATCAAAGTGTATGTTAAGGAAACACAGGTAATCCACGTTGTCCTGAGCTGAGTGCAGAGATACGTGTTTCATTTTCCACCATCTTTGCATCACACTTCCATGCTATTTTAATGTGTTTCTAATTTCCTCTTCCAGCCTTCCCCATAATATCATCAGCTGTGTGTATAATCCTCTCTGCCGCCTCCTATCTCTGTAGGCTGGTTTAATCACAGTATTGATCCCCAGATAACCTGCCTGTCTGGCAGTTTAGACCTCTCTTGTCATGTGGTATGTGAACATGTTACGTGAAAAGAGGGCTTATCCTCCCTGTGCTACTCTGCTGGAGGGTGTTTGCTACTGACTTTGCTGAGACTGGGTAAATATTAACACAGTGGAAAAGCAGCCATGGCTTGGGGCATTGTGTCCCAGCAAGTTAAGTCTATCAGGCTGCTGGGAGAGCTGTGTTTGGGCATCACAGCTTCTGGGCACCGACTGGCCTGGAGTACAGCACTGTGCCATGGTGCCGGCCAGAGACTTTCTGGTTCTTCCTTAGCTGTGTGTGCAATGATACTCATTTTTGTGTGTTCTTCCTTAGAGTAGAAAGGTGAAGTTGATCTGACAGCGACAGAATCATGTTTGGTTGGTACTGGATAGGCAGCAGTGACACTGTTCAAGTTTTATGTTGGAAACAAGCCTGGGAAAAGTTGCTGATGGTGTGGAAATACTTTCAACATTCTGAGAATGTTTCTTTTTTACTTTGAAAGGGATATTTTTCAATTATTTTTTTTTCCATCATATCATATGTATGTAACACAAAATAAAAGGGACCAGAAACCATTCCACATCTCCCCCTAGTTCCACAAATTCTAAATTTTAGGTTAGCATGCCGATTTGAAATGATGCCAGGCTTTGAAATCTGGAAATACTTTTTGCAATGAACTTCTGCTTTTGGCGTGGCTTTGTCTCCCTCCTCCCCAAGGTGGTTGCCCTGTAATAGAGATGCAGAGACTGGGAGTGGCTGGGGTTGAGTTCCTGAGGTTCCCTGCGGCAGCACGAAGGCAGCGAGGCTGGATGGCCAGCAGTGCAGGTGTCCTAGCAGAGTGATCAAGCATGCAAATCCTCTTTAAATGCATTTCCCTGCTCACCCTCAGGTTTGCAGTGAGGGAATGCATTTGGATGCTTGGTTTTCTTTTTTCTTAGCAGTCTGGTTCAGCTCAAGAGGAAATATCCCTGGCCCCGTGATAGCAGCAGAGAACTCCTCCCTTGCTGAGTGTTGGCTCTGCCTTACACATCGACTTGGCAGGCAGCTCTGCTGCATGTGTCCTCCTGTTATCCAAGGGCAGCACAGCAAAAAGCATGTGGTCCTGCACAGCGAGGCTGTGGGCCACGTCTGGACAGCGTGCCACAAGTTCTTGGCCCTGCCTTAAAATCTCATTTGCAGTGGGATCACTGTGTAAGATAAAGGCTTTAACAAGACACATTAATGTTGTGTTGCCACTGAGTATTTGCAGTGTGTTTGCTGTGTGCAAATGGGTGCTGGGTTTGGATGGAGGTTGGGTGAAAACGTTAGCAGCATTGGCCATGCCCAAGGTCTTTGCATGAGAATGTACACCACCCAAAAAGCAGGTCATTGGGGATGCTGTGCCTGTGCTGGTAGTTGAGGTGACCCATGGAGGTGGTGGAGTCACCATCTCTATAGGTGCTCCAGAACTGTGGAGATGTGACACTGAGGGATGTGATTATGGACTTGATGGGGTGGGCTGGGGTTGGACTTAGGGATCTCAGAGGTCTTTTCCAGCCTTTATGATTCTATCATTCTATGGTTCTCCTGCCCTGCAGTTTGGGTCTCCAAAGGTTTGGGAAATGTGGAGATCTGAAAAAAAAGAGCAAAAAATCCCCAAACAAAGTCACTCTTGAATACAGCCTAGTTTTGATTTATCGCCTGTTGTATGAAATGCTACCTTTGTTTCCTATTTATAATGACCCAGTAATAACTGGACACTCAACTTAAGCTAATGATTTAAACATACTTGTAAACTGTCAAGTCAAAAGTTTGTGAGTGACTATAAACATATGTTGGTGAGTGCTGTATGCTAATAAATTCATTATTATGGTGCCCCAGTGGGAAACACGGAGATGGCAAGCTTTTTTTTTTTTTTTTTTTTTTTTATGATAGGTCTTTTATTGTTTGTCACATCTGCAACACATTAAGGATTTTGAAGGCAGATAATGTTTACAATAAGAGGAGGATTGAAAGCCTTCCAGCTCAGTGAAGAGCGCTTCCTGTTTGTCAATGGAGTAACTATGGACCCGGCACCCTGTGCATGGAGCTCCAAAAATAGAGATGTGTCCACACGTGTGTGTGTATTTACGCCACACCAATGGCAAAGCATGCCAGTGAATAAACAGTAGTATTTCCCCCCAGATCATGAGTCGGTGTGAATGTATTCCAGAAATCTATGCTTACAGACATCCTCACACTGCTGAGATCAGTCATCCTACACTGTGTACCCAAAGCAAAGCCTGGGGAAGCTGCTGCTCCAGACAGCCACCCACTAATTAGCTCACCTCTGGCATTCTCACTCACGATGCCACTTATAACTTCCGAACTGGCTGCCAGTAAGCCTGAAAATGAAACATAGGTGCTGGAGATGCTCCTGTGCTGAGCAGCTGGAGTAGGAACTGGTGTTGCCCTGAGCTGCCTGTAGGCGATCATGAAGATTTTTGGGTGGAAATGTGCCTTTTAGTGGCTGGAAGAACACCCGGGAATATCTGAAGTGATCCAGCAAGCAGGGTCAGGGGACAGGAGGAAGATTTACCCTTCCAAAGTATCTGTGTTAGGCAGTAACAAAAGTTGTCTTGGGAACAGATGGATTTGGCAGCAATGAGTAGAAATAGTTTATCCTGAGAAGGGAAGTTGGCCTCATCCCATGAGAGGTATAAGGATGGATGTGTGCAATAAAGATATGTAAGGATGGCTCTGTGGTTTGTGTGTGTAAAACAGCTCTCCTGCCTGACTGCTCCGGCTGCGCAGCACTGGGTGTTGCCTTTCTCATCTCCATTTGTTGCTTATAAGGGCAAAGGGAGTTTGCAGCTGGAGCCCCATTTGCTGGCTTGATGCTTGGGTGCATCTTTTCTCCCCCCCACTTGTTTTCTGCTCTGTCTCCTCTGTGGGGTTTGTGTGCAGCCCACACTGAAACCCAGACATAGCATGGCCCTCTCTTTTCCAAGATCCATAACTTTTTAATGGCTTCTGACTTGACCACTGGTGCATCTGCTTTGCAGAATTGTTTCAGAAAGCCTTGTCCAATTCCTTTGGTCGCGTTCCTCTCATTAGCCTGCTTTCTCCTGCTTTGTGTCTGCTGGTGCTTGCTCACTGCTTGGAGGCAGACCAGCAAAATGTAAAATATTTACAAGATCACCTCTTCAGATTCTTTATTGCAGTGCTTGTTTCTCTGTAAATGCCTTCAGGGTGCCCATATCCGAGCCGCAGGTATCTACTGATGCTGCTCTGCCTGATGCTTGGGCAGCCAGTTCCTTTGGTTGTTTATCTATCTGCTGAAAAAGACATCTCCAAATACCAGATTTACTTCAGAATACCCCTTCAGCAGAGATGCTGCGTTGCAAGGCATCCGTCCTGTCTCAAGGCCAAATGTCAGCTGGATTATCCCGATGGAAGTGCTGGAATGCTACCAACTGAAACAGTGCAATAGCTTGATTATTGCTTTGCTGTTTCAAGTGTTTGTGTTTGTTGAAATGTCTCCTTTTAGTGAATATTTGGTTAGGAGTCAAGTGTTCTTTGTCATTGTCCAAATACAAGCGAGAAGAGACAGGGGTAGCAGTTGGCTGAAGCTGTAATTGAGTGTCAAGTTCATTAACTCGCTATGGAAATCAGCAACAATGATTTTTTTATTGGTAGGCTGGGAAAATTATTGGTCGCTTTCAGAGCAGGGATGTTTCTAGCACTCTTCAGTTGGCTGTTGGTGGTGA